ATTCAAGTTACCACAAATGCAGGGAAAGGAATAAGGGGGGGAAAAAAGGAACTAAAGTGTTGAAACTCACGATCACATAGCCACAGGAAATGCTTACATATACTATTTGTATGATTACATGTATATGTATCCTTTATTCTCTATAGTTTTTACCCTTTTATAAATGATGGGTTGCAGAAAACATGTTATAAACTAACTCGTAATATACAAAAAACTTCACTAAAATCCATGAATAATCTGAGTTAAATCCATAGTGGCCCAGAAATTCAAGATCTCTTAATTCTCTTCGCAAATCACTATCTGCATGTTGCAGTATTTGTGGTACCGGAATTCATGGTACTCTTTTCAATCCTCTCTAGTGCCCCTACATCTATCGGTGAGGTAGACTATAGCAGGTCAGGGCTGATCAAGAGCGAAATTGAGCGGTTCTGGCAGGCTCCTGAGTGAAGTAGGGACTCTTGTCAGTAAGAGAGGCTGAAGTCGGTCCATTTGTATTTTGTACATCATTTCTTTATTACCTTACATTCGTTGTTCCGTGCTCGACCACGTCTTAGAACGAGACTGTTTCATACACAGTGAGGAGGCAGGGGAATTTCTCTCCCCGGTTTGCTCTGGCCTAATGAAATGGTTTGATTAAAAAAAAAAAAATAAGAAAAAGGGCCCGCTGAAAGACTCTTCTCTCCTCCGTCTTCCCTCAAAATTGCTTCTAAGTAAAGCTCTTTCAAAGATCAAAGGGCCTGATCCTGCCGTCTTTGCACCAATGGGAGTTTGCCTCCCATCGTGAGAATTTTGCCTGAGTGAGATCTGCAGGATTGAGTTCACAGTGTGCTCAGAATCTCCCTTCATCCTCAGCACATAAATGGAAGCACAGATAGGAGGATCTCTGACATGGCACACAGAAGCAATCCATAGTATGGTCCAGTCTTGAATTTCTTAGTCAGACAAAACCTGCACTGACTTCATTATTTGTATTAACACCTGGTTCAAAAGGGCTTTTACCATCTGGCAGGTAAATAAGTGACAACAATTGCCCAGGTACATAAATACCTCTCCAATTTTACAAGTCAGGCTGAACAGAGATGATCCTTACCTAGATTATAAGATCTTCAGGGAAGGGACTTCATTTTTTATTTGCCTGTAACACAGCGATCTGTTTTATGTCCCTATATACAAAAAATAATATCAGCAATAACAGAAACTCAAATTATAAATCCTCAGGCTGTAGGCATTTTTACATTGTTTTTATAAAATCATTTACTCTTTATTTACAGAAGTAGTAAAAAGTACTTTGATCAGTTTTGTGCACTTATTTGCACTTTCACTCCAACTGCAATTGTGCAGGCCAATATTTGTCACTGTGGTGTAGGCCATTTCTGGTAGCAATAATAATTATATTTTTATAAGTTAACAATATTTGAAAATGTGGATATTTGTGAAATAAAATCTTAAAATGTAGTTTACCAGTTGTATTTAGATTAAGATTAGGACTCCATGTATAGACATCCTACCTTTTAATGCTTTATTGAGATCAGCTAAAGACTGATTTATGAACTGATGTAGTCCTACCATGCAGCATATGATTTATCTGATGTATCCTAAAAAATACTATTTATTAAAATCTTACAGATGATATAGCATATCTCAGGATTAAAATATATTGGTTCTGACTATGTCGGGCTTGATCCTGCAATATTACTAAAGAAAAACTCCCACTGCCTTCAAAGATGGTGTTTGGCAGAGATAAAAGGAGAAGAAGCCTGAAGGTGCATCCTCACTGACACCTCTCCTGCAATTCTCTGAGAAGCCTTCCTCAGTGACAAGCCCCTCACATATATCCCCCATAAAACTCCCAGAGCCCAATCACTTTTCAGTATGCAGAATCCTACCAAATCCCATACACCATTGTCAAACACCTTGCCTGGCTGCCAGAACTCTTCCCTCTTTCAGTGGCAAATGCTCCCAGTTAAACCCACCAGATGCAAACATTATTTTCTCATGAGGTGTTGCTGACATGGCTAGTGGGGACAGGTGAAGTTTGCGTTTGAGTTTTCTATTCTGAATGACCTCAGCTACTCCTGTGCCCCCAAGGATTCTCTCATGAGTTTCCATGAGGTTCTATTTTGTCACTTCTCCTCTTCAATGTATATACGAGACTACTAGGGGAGATAGTTGATGCACAGATTATAAGGCCAGAAGGGACACCTGTGATCATCTAGTCTGACAAACGTGACCAGATAGCAAGTCTGAAGAATAGGTACCCTTTTGGGGGGAGAGGTATAGTTGCCCCTATATTGGGATGGTCCCAATAATATCAGGATGTTAATGATGATGATATCCTAAATCTGACCTCAGTTAGTGAGGATTTTGATGCTGATGTGCTTCCAGTAAGTAGGTTACACCCAGCTCTGTGTCTCCAGTTAATAAGCCTGCGTGCTGGAGTTGAACAATCCAGCCAGTGCAGTGTTTGGCAATCCTTTGGATGAGGGTTGTCTGGCTAAAATTAAATCCTTGTCAGATTTAGGTAATGCTTACAGGCTGTGGAAAAAACAGAAGAAATGGTTTATCCCGGTGAACCTACAATAGGCTCTATGCAGGCACAAGGAGCAGCCCATGCACAGTCCACTGCAGGATTGGGGCCTATGTCTGACCCCCTCATTTGTGGGCACTTGCCTGCCATTTGTCCGCCAAGCATGTAACTTCGCCTCCAGCAGCTTCTAGCTATCCAGGTAGCTGCACTGGCGAGACTCGCCATGTTTTTCATCTCTGCTTGGAAAAAATATTGGGACTTTCTCTTTTGGATGAGGGCCTTGTTAGTTACCCAACCCTGTCACCTAACGACTGGGTTACTGATATGTGAGACAGTATCCGAAGGCCATTCAGACATTTCAGCTGGTGCAGAATGTAGCCATCTGTATGTTTCAAGGTACTTCTCATGTAAAGCAAACTATACCCATGCTCTGTGATCTGCACTGGCTTCCATTTAGTCTCCCGGTCCAGTGTAAGGTGTTTTTCTACTTCCAGCACCCATAGTGTCTTGTTCTCTGGATATTTTAGAAACTACCTCTATCCTCATATGATAATGCAGGTTATGATCAGCTAAAGCACTGGAGTTTACAGCTCCTGATTTAAATCAGAGATTGTCAGTGGCTTCAATAGATGAGTCTTCAGCTATGGTACCCACCTTTCCCCCAGGGTCCAGTAGAGTCTGCATTTGTTGCTATTCAGCTCACCTGGCAAGGCCTATTGGTTTACCCAGGCTTTCCCTGGGGCGGGACTGTTGATCAGGCAGACTGGGGATTAGAGAGGGGCTGAAGGAAAGGAATTTGCTTGTGGATGGTAGGATTTTTTTTCTGGATAGTGACCCGCCCCAAAAAAGTGTTCTTCTAATGACTGTAATGGTGCCCTAGAGCTGCTTTTTTATAAATTAAAAAATAAGGCCTTTCTACACAAGAAGGTTGTACCACTTACACTATACCAGTATAGTTAATGCAGTACTGTCACCCTACTGTAGACAGTTATATGGGTATAAAGGTTGGGCACAGCTGTTCCTGTACGGGAAAATTTACTTCTCTCTGCATGACACATATTTTGCTTTTCTTGTTGGCCCTTAATACTATTTTGAAACAGTTGCTTCCTGTACCACCAGTGTGGTTCATCTTCACTCTTATGAAGGACATACTGGGTAGTACAAATATCTAAGCAGTGCCCCAGTGATAGATGATTCTAAATAAATGCAAACAGCAGAGATGCTGGATTGTCAGAAGCCCCAGAATTGTTCCTTTCCCCAGCAATGACACTGCAGAGCCTGCAGGACGCTATATGTCCTCTCAGGGAAAAGGCCTGAGCAGGGTTTGAGCTGGCTGGTAGCACATCCTTAGGAAGTATAATTTAACCAGTGCAGAACACCAGCACCGGGCCAGTGCATCACTCAGTCCCACCTAAGCCTTGTTTATAGAAGTGCATTGGCTTCCTAGGGGCCCTCTACACAGGACTCTGGTTCTCCTGTTCTCATCATTTCCCAAGTGGCATTTCTTTTGAAATAATAGTTTGCATACGCTCACAACAGCATCTTTAATTTGGTTAAACTCCGGGTGTGTTCACAGCTCATCTTGAAAATATCCAGAGGCTTTTCTGCTGCATAGCAGAGTCCTCCGGTGCCTGGTTACAACCTAGCGAAGGGGTGGTCGAAGTGTAAAGAATAGCCCACGTGGCAGGAGCTCCCCCCTGGCACCCTAGTTTTTGACATGGAGTTGAGGGGAGACCACAGGTCCCACCATGCAGGGGGCCCATCGTGCGGCCTAGGGGCCCACCTGCTAAGTTAAGCGCGGCTCCTGAAAGGCTGGGGCCGGTAGCTCCACCTGGTCTCCCCATTGCAGATGAAGGTGGCTTCGCTCTGCTCCCTTTTACACCTAGGTGAGGGGCCACTCCCGGCCCGCTGGCGCCCACGGCCGGGGAAGGGGGAGGCGAACAGCCAGACACCCACCCACGCCTGCGGGGAGCCCGTGAAGCGCCTCCCGTCCACCGTGGGGGTGTGGGGGGAGCCCCCTGGGAGGCGTCGTTTTCTGAGCGTTTCCAGCGGAACAGAGATGCGGGGGGAGAGAGAGAGGCTGGGAGGAGCTAATCGCTTTAATTGGCCGCCACGCCATTAAAATTTCTTTTTGTAAGTGCGGCGCTTATTGTGAGAACACCAGTCCCCGCCCCCCGCGAAAGGACGCTCGGGAGGCGCGCGGGCCCCGCCACATCAATTATTCAGTCCTCGCTCCCGCTCTCCCGTGTAAACAAATCCCTCAGCCAGCCTGGCGCGCGGCCCGCTCCTCCCTCGCTCCCTCCCAGCGCCCGCAGCCGGCCGAGAGCGGCCTCCCTCAGGGCTGGCTGGGGGCGGGGGCTTTCCCTCTCTCCTAGGGCTGGCGGGGGAGCTGCAGGCTCGAGCTCCGTCTGACCGGGCGGCTCGCCAGCTTCGGGGAGGAGCGGAGCTGCTGCAGGACGCAGCCCGGCCGCCGCGGCTCTCTCTCTCTCTGCTCGCCGGCTTCCCGCCATGGCAACTGCCCCGCGCTGGGGGGGCGGTCTGTATTTCCCCCTCCCTTGCAAGGCTGCGCCCCTCCCGCCCCACAGCTGTGCTAGCTCGGCAGCGGGGGCTGACGTTTTCCAAGGGCCGGGGCAAGGAGACGTGACGGGCCAGTCGGAGCGATTGAGTCGAGTTTCCCTGTGCAGAGGCTCCCCCCACCCTGGTCCCGCGGGGGGTGGTGGCAGGAGTGGGGTAAGATCAGGCTAGCGCGGGTTGCTCTCAGACACGGTGCTATGAATGTTTCCCAGGCACAACAGAAGCACGTCGGCTGATCCCCTCCACCGCGTGTAAAGACAAGCGATAATACAATCCGGGGGAGAGTATCCAGAGAACTGAGCATCAAACCCGTCTGACTCCACTATTTCGTCTCGAAATAGTGATTGTGATGAGGAGAAAATGGTGAAGAAGCGAATGGGTAAGATCAGCTGGTAGACAATCTCTTTGGGGACACACTCTCTCTCTCTCTCTTTTTTTTTTTTTTTACATTTACGAGTTTAAAAACCAAAAAGCAGCAGTTTAAGTCAATACTTCAAAGATTTTCGGGAGCGAAAGGGACGCTAACAAAAGAAAGTGTCTGAATAACAAACACATCGCTCTGCCGGCGAGTTTTAAGACATTTTAAGTATAAAGAATAAGTGACGTGGCAATCATTTTCCCTCCCCCCCCCCAACTTTGGTGCTTTCTGACTCGGATGTGAGGGTGAAATCTTGCTAACAGCTCGTGTATCTGTATATTTAATTGCGACCTGGCTGCATGTTCCTGTTGAGGAAGGATGCAGATGACAAGTGAATATATAAAAAACAGTTGACAAAAACAGGAAAGAAATAACTGACAGATGAAAAGACAGTCAATGCGGAGCTAACAGGCAAAAGCATCAGTACAAAGTCACATACCTTCTGAGAGGAGCAGTAGTTTGTTTTATTCCAGATCTCCAGAGTTTTATCTACTGTCGGTGTGATGGGGGAGAGAGGAGCTAATGTGCCCTGTTTAGGATACAAACATGCAGATTAGATCAGACTTCTGACACCATGTTTCACTCAAGACTTCAAACAGAGGAATAAAACAGACTTACCCCACTGAGGAAAAGGAAAATAAAACATAAAAAAAAATCCAAGACTTTATAAGGGTTTTTTTTTTACTTGTTTAAACATAACCGTTTTACATATCCCTATACTTAAATACCTAGAGTTCATCTGGATCAGTGGCTCTCTGTTATATTCGCACGAGCTTAATGTGTTGCTCTCGAATTGAGATGAAGTTCAAATGGAGGCCTTAAACTTTCCGTTTCTATTGTTTAAAGGTTGGGACATTGGGAGAATATCAGCCCAGCTCCCATTTTTCATCACTTTTGTATTACTTTAGATTTTCAATGAGACAAGTGTAATTACTAGGCATTTAACTTTTTGCCAGGCTCTTTCATTATGGCTTTTCATTTGCACCTCGCTTTTAGAGAAGTAATAACATTCACGGTCAGGGGCAAATCCTGTTAATGAACAAATTAAAGTTCAAACAGTTATTCAAGTTCACAGCCCTGCTCGCTGCTCCTTGAATAAGAGTTATACATGTTACTTTCTCTCGGAATCTATCCCCCCTTTTATTACTTTTTAAGCTTTTAATAAACACAGCCGGGCTATATCTGCCGTTCCCAGCCTCTAAAGCTCCCTCCAGTGCTGGAGGGAACCCTAATCCGACCTTAATTTGGTAACTTTTGTAAAACACATAAAAGCTGGGGTACAACCTTTATGCGCTCAAATGATTATATAATAGTGAAACAAGCCCAAGAGGAGTTCCCCCTCTTTTCCTGGACTCCCCATGCCCTTCTGCTGGTTGCTTTATCCCCTCCCCCCGTTTGCAGTGAAATTCTAATTACTCCCTCAAATTCCTAGGGAGAAACTGGGATTTCAGAAACTGGACTTGGAGTTTTCTGGGCAGATGGGGAGCAGGTGCCCCTGGGCAAGGGCGGGTCTTTCTCTCCAGGCATCTGCCTGTCCGTGTGGTGCAGTCTGGGCGGTCTGTCTGTGCAGTCTGGTCGATTTGGGTTGCCTGGCTCCTGTCTGGTCGGTCGGCCTGCCTGCCTAGCCAATCTTATGCAGCCTATCTGTCCAGTGTCTCACCTATGTGGCCAGTGGCTGCTCTGGGCCGGCGGGTCAGGACTCCTCCCCGAGGGGGGTCTGTATCAGGCCTACAAGTCGCAGGAGTTGCAAAGGCGTAGCTTGCCCGTCTGTCACGGCCGGGGCCCTTCCCCGAGCCCCTGCCCGGCGATCGGAGGGAAGAGGCGAGCTCGCTGTTTGCCAACAAACTACGCAGAGCTTCCTGTGGCTGTCCTGAGCAGCCTGTCTACAAATGGGAACCAAGCGCCGTTCACCGAGCTCCCTTTCCTGCTCTCACCGTTTCCTCCTCCCCCTGCCTTCTAATCTTTCTCAATTAAAGTGTCTGCCGGCCCCTAGGTATTAGCATATATGAATCCTAATTCCCCTTGTCAATGGCTGCCCGGCCTAGGGAGCCCGGAGCCTGCGTCCCTCCAGGTGGTGCGCAGGGAGCTGCTCCATGCGAAGGACAGACCCTGCAGCCCCGCTGGTCCGGGCGCTCAGCGCTTTCCCCCGCTTTCAACCGCAATTGTCAAATTCCACACCTTTGTTTTACTCTCCCTCCCAAAAGTTCAAGGCAGAGCCGATGCAAAGCGCTAGCTATGTACAAATCGAGGAGATCACACTCCCCATTATCTACCTCCTGGCGAGTGTTTGATTTGTGACATCAAAAGCTTATCAAGACAAGCCTACAAAAAGCACCTCGCGTAGGCTGGGCTGAGCGTAGAGGAGAGCGATCTCGCTGGTTTGGATGGTCTCCCTTCTCCAGGGGTGGGGTAGCAGGGGTGCTTAAAACGGTATTGACTGCCACAGCAAATTAAATTGCTGCACTGAAGAGAGCTAGTGGCCGGGGCCTGGCTGACTGCTAGCTCTCCGGCTGGTAGCATAAAGATTTTCCTGACCTGCACCCGCAGGGCAATATTGGGGGTCTGGCCGGCCGGACAGAAGGGGCTTAATTGCCATGCCTTGTTTTTGTGTGTGTGGTTGAGGGTTATATGCAGGCCCTGAGTCCTCGCAGTCATCTGCTCCGAGTGGTTTGATATAATCACCATGACAACTGCAATCTATGAGCATACAAATAATAGAGATGAAATAGACAAAAGATTAGCATGCCATGAAAAGTACAATAAGTTTCTTATTTAGCATTTAGATAACTGTCTTTCCTTCGGAGCAGGCTTCAAAGTTGAACCCAGTTTAGACCAAGAGGATTAATTCTTTCTCCGGCATGCTTCATTGAATCTCTCATTACCAAACTTTGTCTGTATTGATGTTAGATTTGATTGAAGATTAGAGCATTTAGCAAATCTTGCTTTTCTGCATGTATCAGGCCTTTTCAAGCACAGCCCGCCCTGCCCAGTGGTCAATACCCTTACTTTTATCCAGTGTCTGCTTCATTTAAACTTAATCAACTCCATCAATGAACTGGAACAGGGAAACGTCCCTGCGGTGAGAATGTTGTGCTTTTCTTAGATAATTCTTTGCTCCCTTTCCCAATCCGTTGGCGTTAAACCTAAAATTGCACTCTGATGAACTTAATCAATATGATAATGACAATTGGGGCTGAATGGCTCTGCTAGGGCTCAAAGTGGAAAAGGTAGATGGCTGGGCCCATTACCCAAAACAACTTCTCTTGTCTCGCCTTTTCTTTTGTGTGAGCTACTCCTATCGTTCTTTCTTTCTTTCCTTCCTTTTCCCTCCCCCTCCCTGACGCTGAATACTGCTCATGCTGGAAAATGATGCATCTTGGTGAGGAAAAGTGAAGTAGACCGATTGGCTCTGTGAATTATCTGGCTTGTTGCAGTGAATTATTTGCACTGTTTCCTTTACCAGTCAACAAGTTTCTGAGGTATAGTACAGATCAATCAAAGCTGACAGAGCGCATGTGAAGCTTTTACTGTGTAAATCTGGGCCTCTTGTCCTGGCTTCGTTGGCACTGGCATCTGTATATCATTTTTATACTGCTACCAGTAGAGCAATTTCAAAAGTATTTGCAAGGAAAATGTATGTCCCCATCTGTTCCTGGAATCATAAATGTGCCACTTTCGGAGGGTTTTCACTGGTAATCATATCTTTAATGATGAACAAACTTGTGATATATACCTTTCCATAAAATGGGGTTTTCTTCACTTTATTGTGATTGGCTAGGATAAATAGCTTTTCCATATGTTAGGGAGATAAAATATAAGATTAGCAGGGCTCGTTTGTTTGATCATAAACAACAGAAAAAAATCATTCCAAATACTCTTTAAACAGAAACAACTACAGAATTAAGTTGCATTAATTGGCAATCTATGGCCCACCACTAAGGGGTAAACAATTGCCTCCCTGGAAATGACATATTTTAAAATAAGATTATAGTGTTTTGTTCATTATTCTGAATTACAATGCATTTGCTGATTTTAAATATTTGATTATTTTAATTTTTGTTGCATTTTTGTGTTTTCAGATTTTTTATTTTGCAGGTTCACTTTTGATAGCAATCACAATAGCACAAAGGGTGCTATTTAGTAAGTTGCCACGTGTATATTTAGAAAGCAGATGGGGGGGGCAGTCTTTGCATGCTATTGTTGTAAAGGTTCCTCAATAAGAGTGCTTGAAATGTAAATATTCAATTTTTAAACCAGCCAACCTTTTGCACTTGTTGGGAGTGTTGAATAAAGAATAGTAAATAAAGTCTTTTTAATTTTGTTGCACTTCATGCTTAAGGTAATATTATACATGTCATATGAAATATACAGGTTCAATTGGGAAACTTACCCAGAGTCCATGATGGTGTCTCTGTTTAATGAACTACCCTGGCTCTTGTGTGAGAACCATTTTGATTTTATTACTAGTAGTGATACTGCTTTTCAACCTTGGTATGTATGTGTATTTTAATATATGCATTTCTGTGTATAAAGAGCAGTATTCTCTTCAGTATTACATAGAATGTTAACTATTTGAAGACCTAAATAGAAACACTATCATAAATTCCAAACAGCAGTGAAAAGGACCATGAGATATGTGTTTATCTCTCTAACTGTGTCTTTTTGTTTATATCTATACATGATCACAGGCATGCACAGAGCACATGAATACATTTTCTGCTGTGATGTGTACTGATTGATACATAAGCATAAGCACAGACCGTAGGGAAACATTCATTGTTTACAATGTTGCTTGGAATTTCTTACAGGAAGCTGTCCTCTGTCTCGGAAGATTCAGCAGAAAGACTGGTAGCTATAAAGTATGTGTGATGGTAGACAGTGTAATATACTGGGAATCATCATACAGTTCTTAAATTATGCTAAACCAGAAATGGTGTGTCATCACTAATATACATAATGTTAAAAGTGTACTGCATTTCCCACCATTGAATAGTATCTTTACACTGCGAGATACCCATTGAGCAACTATGGGATCTACTGATCTCCTAATAGGTAGAGATTTGCGCTCCTAACTACCATCAATACGGAAAGAAGTTAAACACTTAAATCCATCATATAGTGAACACCCAAGGCTAGATAAACATCTTTACACCTTTTTGTAGACAAGCTTTAAACACTCGATTTTCTTTATTTCTGTAAGCATTGCAGAACCATAGAACACACTGCATTTATTTAACACCTTTGATCATCTCACCTGCATTCTGCCCTCTGATCTACCTTAGCCAAGACCACTTCTAATGCTCTATAGCTCTGAGCAGCTTTGAGATAACAGCCATTTTTGCCAAAAGAACCTGACATAAACATTCATTTATCCTTCCTCTCTCTCTCCACCCCCCAAAAACCAGTGGGATTTAGAATCGTACTGATGCAAAGTCCAGGACTGGCATTATTCAGTTCTGAATCAGGATCAGATTTGATGAATTAAACCATCAGGGGAAAAAAAAACACTTGCTAAATCTCATTGGAGGGCTAGGATTCTGGGCCTTCTAGTGATATAGATGCTGCAACTTGTCTTGTCTTGGCAGGTAACGTGATATTGGACCCCAGAACTGTGACTATCCCTATTTATGGAGAAATTCCTTTAAATCACTTTTAGAGCCTTTAAAGCAGTTTTAAAACTAATTAAAATGTTTATTTTCCACCAGTAATTGTAACTGTCTAGCACAACCTGCCCTCCGAGATAGGAGGATAGGGATATTTGTATCAACATAGATTTTAAATGTTAAGAGATTTCCTAAAAGAGTTTTAATCTAGTATTTGGCATGAAGGAAGCACCTGTGCTATGAAAGGGTATCAACACACTTGGGATAGTCCCCTTACCTCAGTGGTGAAGCCAGAAAGGCCAATTCTGCACCCACTGAAGTCAAGGGGAGCAGGAGCTATGTGGTGTGATTGCCATTTTCAGTACACATTATTCAGGCAAAACCATTTAGTGAAAATGTGGAAGGGAGAAGTGAAGAAGAAAAACCCCATAGAAATAAGTGAAATGTGGGCCTAATCTCCCTTCCAGCGAACTCAATGAGAGGAGGAAGATTGGAGGAATTACGTTGGACCCCTCAGTTATTTTTGTTGTTCAGTCATACAATGTAAGATTAAAATGAACCAATTTAGGGCCAAATTCTGTCCTGAAGTGTATGTGCATTGGCTTTCATTTGGTGTGTCTCTGGGGCCAGAATTGGGCCTTACATTTGTTTGTTTAGCTGCTGTTTGAATTTGCAACTTAATGCATTTATTAGACTGTTTTCACAGTGGACTACACTGTTGCAGTACCTGTCATGCTTGTCATGTGTCTATCTAAAGCTTTCCAACGTGATGTGTTTTTAAACATTTAGGGCCAGCTCCTTCATTCTCTTTAAGTTGACTTCAATGGAATTTTAACAGGAAATGCAGGACAATCACGTGCTAATTCTCTATTCGTTATATGCACACACTTGTAACTTGGCTATTTCTAAACCAAATTTTATTGGACCAGCCAAAGGCTTATTACTTAGGCACAACTCAGCTGGACATTTGCTTGAATAAAGAGTGCAGGATCAGGCCAAAGTCACTGGCAAATCTGACATGTTAAAAATAAACCTGTTATTTGAATTGCCAAATAATAATAATAATCAGAAAGTGTTAAAATGTGAAAACACCTTTTTTCACATTCCCAGGGCCCAACCCTACAAGTACTTTACATCCAGAGCTCCCATTCATTTCAAGCCAAGAGCTCTCATTCAAACCATGTCACTAAGTCCATTTTTAAAGAGCAAAATAGAATTTGTATTGATGTCTACACACACACAGCATCTTTGGGCTGGGAATAAGCATGTCATTTTTTCCAGAAATGTCTGTAAATGCACTTTCATTATGAAAATCTTTAACCTACTTAGTAGCTCCCAGCCCTCAATACTTTGTGCAGCCAGCACCATAATTGACTTAAAGAGGAGGTTGGATTGCACAGTGAATGCAGAATCGGGCCCCACAACTAATGCATAGCTTCGGTACATATATCAAGATTTTACCTCACCTCCCAGGTGTTCCGGGTATGTAGATTTGATTTTTTTTCTTTCAGCAGTACGCTGGCAAATAGCTTATATTTGACACTATATAGTGCTTAGTGGCTTATTGAACTGAATGTTTACTGGCACAACAGTGGCTCCAATTAACTCAATTGGCATTAAAATTGAAGTTATGAACATTTCTATTGTTTCCTTTGTAATTCAATCCAAATTAATTTAATGTACCCTGAATTATTGTTGTATAAAAAACTAATTGCACTTTGACATTGTGCAAAAAGCATTTCTGTTCTCTAAGTAAACAACATTGATTTAGAGGCAGTGAATCTATTTTGGCATATTTAATATCCTAATGGTCTCGTTTTATTCTTGACTTTAATTTTACAGGGGATATCCCTCCTATATTGTGGAAAGAATATAAGATGAGCTTCACAATTTCATTGTGGTTGCTTTCATATGCAGGAAGCTTTTCAGTTTAAGAGAAAATCTGAATCTGACTTTCATATAACACAAATATTGTAAAAGCAGTATCTGTGTGTCAGCATTTCTGTGCATATTTTAAAGGGTAAGTAAAAACCTCTTAAGAAATAAATTTATATTTTTGTTTTAAGATTATTGTCGAACCCCTCTTTTTTGTATGCTAAGAAAACCAAATTGGGATTAATAAAATTCAGGGGCTGTAGTTAATGCTGTTAAAAGCAGAGGGCAGACATTTACACTGCAATGCATTACTTATTAGATAAATCTTAAACAGTTTTAAAAGAAATCTTGTACAAAAGTGATCTTAAGGAATTCAAGAAACACTGCTGCAAGCTTTGATCCTGCACTTCCTAGGCAGCCAAACCTCCCTCTGAAATCAACTGAAGCCCAGTGAAGTCAATGGGAATTTTGAAGCCCAGTGAAGTCAATGGGAATTTTGGCTGTGTAAAGACAGCAGGATCTCCAGCCCAGAGCCTCTACAGTTAAGAGATCACTTTGAACTAGATGATTTTGTACAATTGATATGTGATTAGAATTATTTGGTATTTTTATGGGGGTTGGGGGAATATTACAAAGAAGAGGGGGGGGGGAAATGTTACATTTCCCATTCATCATTTAAAAAGTAATACCAAAACTGTGACTTCACTTTTTCTTCAAAAGACATTGTGCAAAAAACTAGTTGGCCAAAGGCCCATCTCTGATGAAGCAATGTAAGGAGTTATATTGTCCTTAGATTTGATTCCATGGCGAAGGACTGATACACTGCTGATATAGAATTCCATTAGAAAATTTCTCTTTTTGGCTGTCAATTACTGCTCCATCCCCAAAACTAAGGGAGCCTGCTGTTCACTGGATTTAGCATAATCACCTACCACAATCTGAACTGTTTAGGAGATTTTAGGGATCATTTCCTCAGAGTTAATTCAGAAACAAAGCATAAAGATAAAAAGTCCTTGTAGCATCTAAGAATACCTGTGTGATGGGGAAGAAAAAAAGAGGGAAATGGACGGACCTTCTTTATGGTCAAATAGAAGACATAGGGTGAAATACTCACCCTGTTGAATGAGAACTTTGCCATTGACTTATCTGAGCCAGGATTTCACCTATATTGTTTATAAAACTGGTACTATTAAATCTAGAGGCCCTGATCCTACTCCCAATTAAACCAGTGGGAAAACTCTCATTGGGAGTAGGGTCTGTCTTCAATTTTCAAACTCCATGTGATTCTGCTTTGAGTCAGTTTGTATGCTTGGCAAAGATCTGCAGCTCAGGGTTTCTTCCTCCTTCAAGAAGAGAACATGAATGTTTAAAAAATCATTTATTTAGAAACCATGGTCAACTCTCAAAAGAGTGTTTGAAGGGCATTTACCCAGAGGAGGCGCCAGTCTCAGCTTAGACACCTGGCTCATCTTTAGGCCCACTACTTAAAACCCAAATTGTTAGGGGAGTAGTTTGCTACATTTTTGTCCTGCAGGGGGGTGGCCTGGCGGACACTCAGCCAAAAGGTCAGAGAGAATACTTCAGCAGGATTATCAGCATTTTCCTTAAGACCAGCATTCAAAACGTTACAAAAGGGTGATACTAATAAAAACACCCCAGAGATGTCATTGGTGTTTCTAGCTTGTTAATATTCTTGCTTTGGTCCATGCCTTTAAACAAATCTTGCTTCTTCTCGGTGTGTGTGTGTGAGGAACTTCAATCTTGGTTTAGTCTCTGAGGTTTCATGTCTTCAATTTAACAGTAGAGAGTGTTGTCCTCTCCTAGGGCTGGGAATTGCAGCGCTAATGCCTCTGAAGGTCATATAATTAGTGTGAAAGGAACATGCAGACTGACAGCTAAGGGAAGGAATGCAAAATAGCTTCCTTTCAGAAATATTCTCCTCTCAAACCACTGCTGGCTTCTTAGAGGCCATGGGGCTCTGGAAGGCTTGCCCAGATCCCCTAGAGTTTGTATTTCTCTCCCTGGAAATGCTTTAGAACCCTTTGGTTCCTTTTGTTGCAGACTTTGATGAAACTGTGATAATGGGACAAGAGGCCGGGTGTGGACCCTATCCCTTGTGAGGTCTGCCAGAACTTTATCTATACAGCTGTCAAGGAAAGACTCTAGGGAGCAGTTTCCAACTACAGATATGCCACCAGTGCTGCTGCTCTGGGTTGCCATCACAGCCAATGGTGGGCCTTTGTTCTGGGCCTCAGTGCCCCATCACCTGTATGCCTCCTATTCAGTGATGCCATCTAGCTACCCAACCTTCAGTGGAGCTTGGTTTCTGTGGTGATGCAGGGAGGAGGCTAAATTTAGAGTTGGGATAGGGAGAGGTTGGGTGGAAGGGAAGCACTGTCATCTTCAGATTAGGGACTGGAACCTTGACTGTCCCTTTGTCTGCTCCTCCAATAACTGTAGCATGATTTCTTTCATGCCTCTCTGAGTATGGAACACCCTTTCTGAATGGGTCCATAAGGTCATGGTCCTCTCCTCCTTCAAATACCTCCTCAGGTGCCACATCTTCTGACTGCAAGCAATCGGCCACTTGGTGATCAGTAGGGCTAGAAACAAACCCAACACAGAGAGAGACAGAAAGGGATTTCATAGATTTTAAAGCCAGAAGGGGCCATTAGATCATCTAGCTTGAAAGCTCCTGTATATCATAGAATTTCTTCCACTTTCTCTTATAGTGAGCCCAGTAGGTTATGTCTGACTAAAACATATTTTCCAGAAAGGCATTCTGTCAAGAAATGGAAAATCCACCACTTGCCTTGGTAGTTTGTTCCAATGGTTAATCATCCCCACTGTTAAAAGTTTGTATTTACTTCATGACATTTTAACCTTATTTAAATGATTCAGAACCATCAAACTGTACATACTTTCTGAGTCTATGTAATTTAAAATCATATTGTTAACCTACTTTCCCCACCTCCTTTTCTCCTATTGTCTGTCATACCAATTTGTTTTGCCTCGTCTGTAATTAGACTGTAAATTATTTTGGAGTAAGGACCTGGCACAATCAGGCTCTGATACTGGCTGGGGCCTTTAGGTGCTAATACAGTATAAATGTAGACTAATAATTCCCAGAGTTAGTGAAGGTCTTCAACACCTCTGGGTTTCAATGGGAGCTGAGGGCACTGGTGACCTCTCAAGGATAAGGCTAGTAGGCCCAAATTTTCTAAAGTGGCTTCTAAGCTGTGATGCCTTTGAGACACCAAAGACCTCATGTTCAGAGGTGCTAAACATCTGCAGCCCCCCACCAACTCCAGCATCTCTGAAAAATCAGGCCCCAGCTGCCTCAAACTGGGCACCCAACATTTAGAGAGAAAACTGTGGTCTGCTAGCAAAAGGCCTAATCCTGCTGCCCCTTGAGCCCAATGGGAGCAGGCTATGGCCGCACAGCTGAAAGGGCCTGGTTTATGGCACTCTAAAGGGAAGACACAAAGAGACTCCCCAGGGTGAGTGGGTTCTGATGAGCGGTAGAAAGCAGGCTCTATTCTGTAACAGCCCTTCCCAAGGGTTTGAATTTTTCTAAGTAAATGGTTTCCCTTGGCCACTATGTGTTACAGGTGACTCCTGATCTTTGGGCCCCTGCTGTTTCAAGTAGCCAGGGTATCACCAGCTACATAGGATGAAATGCAGCCTCCACAAAGGAGCCATTCTTTACCTGCCATTCCAGCTGCCCTGCACCCAGTCTTGGGGACCTAGGGTAAATGAACCCATGCTAGCTCCTGAGGCACCTTTTGTATGACCTATATGATTTGGGGTGGGGGGTTCCAGTGAGCATGTGTTCAGCTGGAGAACCCATCCTCTCTGACCAGTGCTTCTCCCTAGCCTGCTGCAGGGTCTATTACAAATTCCCCAGGGCAGGGGTCCCCCAAGGCGGTGCTGGGGCATATTTCCTCCCACTCTGTCTAAAGGGTCGGTACCTGGGATCTGATCCTGGGAGGGGCAGCTCCCACTAAAGCCAACGGAGGTGCCGGTGCTCATCACCTCTGGGGATCAGGCAGGTAGGCCGCTGCCCCCGTCTCTGCCCTACCGGGCTCCGGGGAGCGCAAGGGTGCTTAACCCCACGCCTTCCTTCCCCCCGATAGGCTGATCAATGGAATTACTGGCATGTCCTGGGCGGGGGCTGAGACCTAGCGTTCCCTGTCCCTGCTCGAGCGGCAGTCAACTGTTATTGTCACTTCCTTTAAGCTGCATCTTGCTCGGTCTCTGTTGTTTCATTACCCAAAATCCCAGAGAAACCACCCGGCAGGATCAATCAGTCGCAGGCAGCCAGACAGTTTTCTTGTACTTTATTAAAGTGTAATCAAACATCGGTTAAGTGGAAAATAAATATCCAGATCTAATAAGCTGCTCAGTCAGATCGTGTAAATGCAAATTACAAGCTGGTTCCCATCTCCCCGCCAGGGGACTGAACAAGCCACAGCAATTGCCTCATCCACTGCGACTGTAAAT